ATTTACAGAAATGAGAGCTAATGACAGTGATTACCTCGGAATCGCGTCTTTGTGGGACGAGAAGAGGGACCAGACGAAGCGCGAGCCAACAACGGAGAAGGAGTCGATCTAGAGATGAGGGAAGAGACGAAGAAGGCCTGAGAAAATATAGGGAAAGAGAGAGCACTTTGGAGAGAGGAGAGGATCCGTGAGAAGAGGGGAAAACAAAGAGAGGAGGCAAGGGCGAGAGGGTGACACGAGGAGGTGAGGGTAATACTAGGACAACAGGGCAAGAGAGCGATGCGAGGAGGTGAGGGCAATGCGAGGGCAATAGGGCGTGAGGGCGACGAGAGGGCAATAGGGCAACGCAAGGGTGAGCGAGAAAGATTGGAAAATGATTTCCTCTCTTGAAAGAAAGGAAAACATTTTCTCTAGTTTTAGAAGAATATTTTTCATTCACTAGAAAATATTTTTCTTGATTACTTATTTACTGCCCCCGAACACTGGGAATTATGGAAAATATTTTCTATAAAATATTTTTCGCCAACTACCGGAGCCTAAAATAGCGTGGCAATTGGGCATAATTGGAGAGTAGATGCATTGATTACGCAGTTGACAGAATGATGAGTCTTCGTTTCTAACTTTCTATGGACTCGTTAATGCTCACGTAGTTGACGAGGTAGGAAAAGACTGAACAAGTCCACCACTGCTTAATGAAGTCGATAGAATACGATGGAGAAAAACCACTTTGTTTAATTGACGGAATAAGTTCCATCATTAATAATGAAGAATTGGACAATGCTAAGTTATATTTTAATATTTATATACCGATCCACATGGCAGACTTCTCGTAAAACTGAAAGCGAAGAAGAAGAAGAAGTCGAAATAGGAACAACCCGCACTACTAGAATTTTTTACTGGACGAAATGGCGCACCATCTGGTGGGCTCGATGTCATCAATTAAGTGTTAGAATGAGCTTTAGAGCAAAATTTGTCAATGGAAAAAATGATAATGCCTAATAGTAAAATACAGGGACTACATTGAACATTTTCATGTAGTTCAGGGACTACATTGAGCATGTACCAAAAGTTTAGATACCACATTAAACAAATTAAAAATTCAAAAACTACATTAAATATTAGGCTAAAGTTCAGGAGTTACATTGAGCAAATTAAAGTTCAATGATCACATTACACATTGGGTCAAATTTCAATGACTTTTTGTGTCATTATCCCATTTTTCAGTGAATTTTCCAGCACTCTAAACAAAAACCTTCGTTTAAGGTATAAATGGCAGTACCCGCAATAAGCTCAGACGCTTTGAGAATCGACTTCACCTGTAGTCGTCGGGCCATCGGTCGAATCACCAATAGCCATGCGCGCTAGGGTTTTTCAGGCGGAGCTAAAGATGGACCCGCCTCCATCGACGAGCCATAGCTGTTCTCCGGGAACGGCGGCGGCGACATTGATCACCGACATGGACGTTGACCCACTGGCCCCCTGTGCAGGTTACCTGAGCTTCAGTAGCTGTCGAACATCGCAATGTCCTGCAAGTTCCTCAAGCGCGTCACTAACTCTTCATACCCCTTTTATTCTTCAATTTCATCAAACCAGAAGCATCAACTTGCTTCATATACATGACAAAATTTAGCTTCGTACCATGGTGACCCCAAATTCTTCTTCTCAGTTTGTCCCTCTTTCCTCCGTCCCGTTCGTAGTTCTTTCTATTTCTTTTTCCTTTTTCTTCTCTCTCACTTGTCTTGCTTGTCTCCACCACAGTACGGAGACTCAAATATATTAGCCGCCTTAATGACTCATGAAATCCACTTAACTATTCAAAGTGTCCACCATAGACTTTAAAACCAAGGTATAATGGACTAACACAATTTCACGCATAGCTCTTGGTCCGCCACTTTCTAAAATCAAAGAAACCATATTAAATTATTATCATTATTCAATTTACAGATTCACTTTTATTTCTTGGGCAATTACATAATTTACATAAATACGAGGTGCTTTCCTCGCTAAACAGTAGATCTACATGGTGCAACCACGAAATCAATCTGTCTTATCCCAAGTCGCGTTAACATTCCTTATTATCACAACCTTATGATGTCTTGAATGGATATGGACATGTCATTAGGTGTCAAAATTTCAAGATATCATAATTTCAGCCTGCAAACACTATTAGTGAGTTCAGCTCAATGTTGAGTAAGCAAATTATTGACTCAACGAGTAATTGACCACCTCTGCTTGGGAAATACTAATAATAGTAAATTACAAAGATTATATTCAATGATGCAAACCATATAGCCGATCCCACCAATATACTCGAGCGATCACACTTGAAGGATATTAGAGGTGGCTCATGGTTTGAGAGGTGGTTCTCATTACATAGCATTGTGCCCTTATAAGGTTCAAAAGATGGCTCCCACGTTATAACAATTTGTCCCACGTGACATTTAGTTTTAAGGGTGAGCAAGAAAGACCGAAAGTCTGGATCGGCACAGATCGAATGTGCCAAATTTTCAAGTCCGTATAAGCCCGAGCCGAGATTTTGAGCTCCCCCTTATTTATACTAAAAAATACTTAATAAAATCATTAATAAGTTTTTTCTTGGACACTAAGTCATGAATAAGTTAAAAAGTAAACATATAAAAAAAGTGATATTTGAGGTGAAAAATCTAATAACATATCTTTTTTTTATATGAAAAAAATTTCAGCCTGAACTTCTATTTCAAGAGAAAATATTGCGTACACAGGTGGTGCCACTTCATTTTTACACAAGTCCATTATGTAAGCGACACGTGTTAAGTTTGGGTCCACATGTCAGGAATTTTGAAGGCCTCTCTCTCTCCCCTCTCACTCCACTCTGCTCTCTGCTCTCTGCTCTCTCTCTCTCCCTCACGCAAATCTCACGAGGTCCCTTATGTCTTCGATGTCGTCGCCTCCCTCCACTGCTTCCGGATCTGGCGAGGGCTCGACCCGAATCCGGGAAAGTGACCCTCGCCCGTCACCGGCCACATGCCAAAGGAAAGAAAGTTAAAAAGAGAGCATGGAGCTAGACATGGCCACGGGCCGGTTTTAGCCCGGAACAGGCCCGGGTCAAACCCGGGACCGGCCCGTTAACCAGGCCCGCGGTTCGAAATTGGAACCAGCCCGTGGCCTACGGGCCCGGTTCCGATTCCAATAATTTTGGAACCGGCCCGAAACCAGCGGTTCCGGGCCCGATTCCAAAAAAAAAAAAAACTGTTGCTGCACAGCAGCTCCACGTTCCCACCCCCACCCACGCCCACCTCCAGTCCTCCTCCTCCAAATCCCTCCTTCCCCTCTCTCCCCTACGCCTCCTCCGGTCCTCCCCTTTTCTCCTCCGCTCACCCCCCGTCTTCCCAGATCTGACCCCCGCCGCCATCGCCCCCGCCCATGGCCGTAGCCGCCGACGCCCCCTCCTCCTCCCCCCTCGCTACCCTGCGCCTCCTCCCCTTTCTCCTCCGCCCGCCCCCCGTCTCCCCAGATCCGACCCCCGCCGCCGCCGCCGCCGCCCATGGCCGCAGCTGCCGACGCCGACCCCCGCTCCTCCTCCCCGTCCCCGTCCCCCTCCCGGCCCCCTCCTTCTCCCCCTCACCGCCGCCCCCGTCTCCCGCTTCATCTCCTCGCCGCCTTGAACCCCGCCTCCGCCACCGTGGCCAAGGCCACGAAGCCCGAGCGACGACCAACGGAGGACCAGGCCTGCAATTTTTATTTTATAATTTATTTTATTAATTTTTAAATTACAAACCGGAACCGAACCGGAACCGGCCCAGAATAGCCGGTTCCGACCGGAACCGCCCCTTGTGGTTCCGGTTCCGATTCATACATGGTCACGAACCGGAACCGGTTCGGAACCGGCGGTTCCTGAACCGTGGCCATATCTGCATAGAGCAAGTGGAATCGGGAAGCGAGGAGGAGAGAGAGAGAGGCTTTCAACATTTTCGACACGTGGGCCCAAAAATGACAAGTGTCGCTCACTGGAGGTAGCATCGGTACACAATATTTTTCTCGTATCTCGGTCTCTACCAAGCCTGAAAATTCCATGGACTTGTCAATGCTCACGTGCCTGACGGGACACTAAAAGACTTCTCTCTTCTTCTTTTCTTCTTTTTGGTTGGACTATCGTCGTCTGCTTACATGACGCGCTAGATGGAATGTTCAGTCTTCGTCTTCGTCGACTTCCCAATCCTCGCGCGATTGATGGGGACATGAGTCACCAATTTGTTCAGTCTTCAGTCTTCGTCTGCATGTGACTTTGTGGAATATGAGGCACCAATTTGTCCTTCATATGGACCTTTCCGTTTTGTAATATATTTATCTTGAGGCACTAAATCATATGGTAGAAAATAATTCTGACAATAACCAATAGGCAATAATTAATAACCATCCGCCACATCATTTATCATACAATTTTATAAACTAATCTTAGTGTGTTTGAAATGTTAATATCAACATTCTTTTATGATCTGAAATAAACTCGTGACTTTATAAAGACAGCTGACCCATATACTACTGGGAATATTGTCTAAAAAGTCTTAAATCTATTGCATTTTTGGTAATTCAGTCATAAACTTTTTATTTTGTCAATTCAGTCCTAAAACTTTTACACTGGTATTAATTCAGTCCATCCGGCCAATTTTGACCAACCGAAACTGATGGGGACGCTAGTACTATCTTCATCTCCATGGGCTTCCCAATCCTCACGTAATGGATAGGGAATATGATGCACCAATTTGTTCGGTCTTCAGTCTTCGTCTCCATGGACTTCGTGGAATATGAGGCACCAATTTGTTTGGTCTTCAGTCTTCATCTGCATGGACTTCAAGGAATATGAGGCACCAATTTGTCCTTCATATGGACCTTTCGGTTTTGGAATATATTTATCTCAAGACACTAAATCATATCGCAGAAAATAATTGGACGATAAGCCATATGCAAGAATTAATAACCATATGCGACATCATTTATTATACAATTTATAAATTAGTATTAGTGTGTTTGAAATATTAATATCAATATTCGTTAATGACCTGAAATAAACTCATAACCTCGTAAAGACATCTGACCCATGTACCACTATATCAACCACCTAGAAAGTAAAGAAGCCACAATTTGCACTCTATAATTTGTATTGTTTCTTGGAATTCAAAGCGAGGAGTGCACATTCTTCGAAACCGTAGAGTACGCACACATATCCCCAACACAAAGGACGTAAAATAGAGGACTAGAGAAAGTTCGGATGAGTTTCCGAAACTCCCCGTAGTGGAGTTAGTCAATAATTGAATTGTTGTGCACAGGACGGAGGTGTTAAATGCACCAAAAACTGGAAATGGGTCACTAGAGAAGATGGGGAAACTATTGTTTCTTATGCTCAACTCTGCCCTCTTGTGGTGCTGGATCTCAATCACAAGCCCCGGCGCTTTCTCGCAAAACCAAACAGATCGGCTCGCGTTAGCCTCCTTCAGAAACGCCATACACGAAGACCCATATAGAGTCTTGAGCTCTTGGAATGATTCTACCCACCATTGTGAGTGGCGAGGTGTTTTGTGCAGCAAAAGACATCCTGGGAGGGTCACATCCCTGGTCCTGACATCACAAGGCTTGGGAGGCTTCCTATCTCCTCACATAGGTAACCTCTCTTTCCTGAGGATCATGATTTTACAGAACAACAGCTTCCATGGCGAAATCCCACCACAAATCGGCAACTTGCTTCGACTCCGTAATCTCGTTCTTAGTAACAACTCATTTGGCGGGCCGATACCCTCCAGTCTTTCCCACTGCTTGAACCTCGAGATCCTAAATCTCATCGATAACCAACTTGTGGGGGGAATTCATGCCAATCTTGGTTCTTTACCAAGGCTTCAATTATTGGCCTTGAGTGAGAACAGACTTGTAGGTCATATCCCTGCTACGATCGGAAACCTCTCGCTGCTACAACAGCTCTCCTTGGCATCTAATGCATTGCGGGGAGAAATACCTGAGGAATTATCCAGACTCAAGAGGTTAGAATTTTTTCAACTATCAAAGAACGAACTAACAAGTGAGATTCCACCGGGGATTTTTAACATCTCCGGCCTTGAGGAGTTTTTTGTTGATGAGAACCGATTGCGGGGAAGCTTGCCCTCCGAAATCGGCAACGCTCTTCCTTCTCTCAAATACCTTTCAGCCACCTCTAACTTGCTCACAGGGACAATTCCTTCATGGTTAACGAATGCCACCAGCCTTCAGGGAGTTTTCCTTTCCAAAAACGGTTTCCATGGGCCAATACCGAAAAATTTGGGAAGGCTAAAGGGCCTCAACAAGTTCGGGTTGAGTTTTAACCAGTTGCAGGGTGACTTGAGTTTTATTTCTTCTTTAGTTAATTGTTCCAACTTAGAAATTCTCGCGGTGGACACGAACTTGATTCACGGACCGTTGCCGAGATCCATCTCCAATCTCTCGACCAGCATTAAGCGAATTTATCTGTCAAACAATCTTATCCAAGGAACTATTCCTTCATACCTCGGAAATCTCTTCAACTTGTCTACCTTGAGTTTATCATATAATTTGCTAACCGATCGCATTCCCGATTCCATTGGAGCAGTTCACAGCTTGCAGGAACTTTTTTTGGCTGGAAACATGTTTACTGGAGAGATACCATCTTCGATTGGTAACATGACGTCGTTAAATACTCTTGACCTTTACTCCAACAATTTCCAAGGCTACTTACCTCAAAGTCTCGGCAACTGCAAGCAACTAACCATGCTTGATCTTTCATACAATAACCTAATTGGCTCGGTTCCGATCGAAATCATGGGGCTTTCTTCCTTGTCGATCTCGTTCAGTTTAGCGTATAATAATTTAAGTGGATCTATTCCATTGCAAGTTGGCTCTTTAATAAATCTCGCCGAATTAGATCTGTCTTACAACAGATTGACCGGCTCAATTCCGGCCTCCATCAGTGGGTGCTTGAGATTGGAACGGCTTTTCTTAGAAGCCAACTCTTTTCATGGTCAAATCCCCCAAGCTTTACGTCCACTACGAGGTCTAGAAGAGCTGGACCTTTCCAATAATAATTTTTCTGGTCCAATCCCGAGCTTTCTCGCAGAGCTCTCAATGCTCAAGTACTTGAATATGTCCTTCAATGAACTAGAAGGGCAAGTTCCGGAGGGTGGAGTTTTTCATAATGCAAGTGCTGTATCGGTTTTTGGAAATGGGGAACTCTGTGGAGGTGCTCCAGGTCTGAAGCTTCCTCTTTGTAAATCACCAAGCTCTAACAAGTCTTCTTCAACCAAGGCTATAGTGATATATGTGGTAGCTGTCAGTTTGTCATGTATAGCTTTGTTGTTCTTGTCTATCTTCTGTTACCGCAAAAAGAAGCAGACGAGAACCGATGCCTTGACGTCATTATCCTTTGAGCACCAATTCTTGAGGATTTCTTATGAAGAACTCCTAAGAGCTACAGATAGATTCTCCGAGACAAATTTGATTGGTAAAGGGAGATACGGCACAGTTTATAAGGGGATTCTTGACAGCGGTGCCATGATGGCAGTGAAGGTGCTCAATTTAATGCAAAGAGGTGCTTCGAAGAGCTTTGTCTCCGAATGTCAAACGCTAGGAACCATTAGACACCGAAACCTAGTGAAGATACTAAGTGTCTGTTCAAGCGTGGACTTTCATGGCAATGACTTCAAAGCTCTAATATACGAGTTCATGGCTAATGAGAGCTTGGAGGAGTGGCTGCACCCTGGGACTATAGGACGAGATGATGAGCATGGAGAATCAAGAAATCTGAGACTAGTGCAGAGGTTAAACATCGCCATCGACATAGCTACTGCAATCGAATATCTCCACAAGGGTTGTCATCCAGCAATTGTCCATGGAGATCTGAAGCCGAGTAATGTGCTTCTAGACAACGACATGGTGGCTCGAGTTGGAGATTTCGGGCTTGCAAAGATCATTTCAACAGTGTCTACCGAAGCCACAGGAGTTCAGGACCAGGGTAGTTCAACTTCAACCGCAGTCAGAGGATCCATTGGCTATGTGCCTCCTGGTATGATTCTGTCATATTTTTTTGATTAGTTTCCGGTTGATTGCGATAGTAATATGAGAGTGTTAAAAGTTTGAATAAACAATGATCCTTGATGTTATGTTATGCTTCATACGCTCTGACACCTCTTTCTCAAAACATAATTTCCTATTTCCCCTATCAATTGCTTCGGCAAAAGAAGAAAATACGTATCTTTGTGTACAAAAAGATTGATAGTAACATGTCCTAATCGTATTTGAAATTAAAATGAGAATAAACCATTGTAATTTTGATCAATGAGTGGAAATATTTTTGGGACATGTTCCTCTTTCCCCTATTAATTAGCTTCGGCAAAAGAAGAAAATACGTATCTTTGTGTACGTAAAGATTAATAACATGTCCTAATCATATTTGAAATTAAGATGAGAATAAACCATCGTTATTTTGATCAATGAGTGGATATATTTTTGGGCAAAACTTGGGAATCCATGCCAATAAATAGATAAGCATATTGTGTCATCTCATATTCATATTTTCTTTCGATAATTCGTATTTTATTTCATATCATGTTCATGCCGTGAAAATGGACTGTGTCTAACATCGTCATAATGTCACTTACAGTAGGAGAAATTGACGAGAACTTGTGATTCTCATTTGGTATGCCATGACTTATGGTCTTGACAATAAGTAATTTACCCCTACGTAATCCCCTAACTTTCAATTTGTTCAATGTAATCCCTGCACTTTAGTCCAATGTGCAATATGATCCTTGAACTTTTAATTTATTCAATATGGTTCGTAAACTTTTGGTAAATGTTCAAACTAGTCCCTATGTCACAATATCACACAACATACACTAATTGACAACACAATGGGCTCTGTCCAAGTCTCTTCTTTTTCCCCCCGTTGTGTTCTTTTTTTCGCCTGTTCTTCTAGGCATTTTCTTCGCTTTGGTCTTGCAGAAAAGAAATAGTGTAGCATAGGAATTAAACTGACTCCGGATCATGAAAATGAGTAGCCATGTGTGGATCCCATGTGTGTCCAGTCAAAACCGGCGGTTCATATTTAGTAAATACATGTACTAAGTTCACTAAATAATTTCCTCCGTGGCCTTCACCGCATATATTTTCTTCTTTTTCTGTTTTCACCCTTACCCTACTAGAGCACAAAGTCACTCTTGATGTTTAGGCAATTTGTGTAGCAAACACGTGACCACTTTGGGTGCCCTTAGTAGTTTTGGGGAATGAAGAGTTCATATGTTGTTAACTGATCTTTCGTGCACTTTATAAATCCTAAAATCTCATTTCTCTACGGTTGATGCATTGCAACTTTTGTCACTACTTTTACCAACTTAGCGTACGACAAGCACAGGATAAGAACATCACAAGTACTATAACTAATGAGCGCCAAAAACTTTTTTCTTGATTCGGTAGGTGGTTTTGGGATCCTCTACCTTGCTCTGGCAGAGGATCCCTTGGCCTCTGCCATGCACAGTGAGCCCGACCGTGAAGTGAGTGAGGGCTTGCGAGCCATCCCTCTATGTTGGGCGCAACTGGCGCGAGCCCTCGCAACTATCCATGGCAAGCTCTTGCAAATAGACATCAAGCAAAATCCCATGTGATTTAGGAACTTTTTCTAGACAATTAACTTCAAGAAAAAGTGCCCGTTCATTACTATTTAATGTCTTGATGAAATTTTCAGAGTATGGCATGGGACACAAGGTTTCCACTGTTGGGGATGCATACGGTTATGGCATTCTATTATTGGAAATGTTTACTGGGAAGCGACCCACTGAAGAGGCTTTTGGGCATTGTCTTAACCTTCATAGCTTTGTCCAAATGGCTCTTCCGGATCGAGCGATGGAAATCGTAGACTTAAGGCTTTGGAGTGAAGCTGGTGATCGACAACAGGAGATCAAGATCAGAGATTGCATAATTTCCGTATTTGAAATTGGAGTCGCATGTTCAATGGAATCACCGCTGGATCGGATGGACATGACTGAGGTGATCAGGAAATTATACTCGATCAAAGCGAGTTACGAAACCAAAGAGAGGAGGACAGGTATGTAGCTAAGTCAAATTTTCTCCTTTCATCTTGGAACTTTTTCACTAGGAGAGAAAATAATCTTGCAAAGGCAGTGCTAGCAAATTGACATGTATGTCTCCCTAACTTTTTCACTATTATGTATACTTTTTATATTTACGTCAATACTTATATTTAAAAATCGTAGAAAGTGGATGTATGGAGTTATAGTCTACCTATTTCCACGAAGTAACCATGTAAAATTTGATGAATTTGCTTATTTCCAAGGTTTTCGGCATTTCTTATGCCACTGTATACCACAGGATCGATGCATTGCTTAATTACCCGAAATGTGTGATAAATTCATTATCAGCAATTTAACACCAGTTGCCATACCAATTATATGAATAAATGATGAATTAATTAATACTTTTGAGAGGTTGTCAAGACTAAATATCAAACTATACTGATAATGAAGCTTGTGATGTTAAATCTTCGTGTGTAGACACGATTTCAGGTGGGCTAGATGTGTGGGAAACCTAGCAAATCCACGGACTCCATAAAATTGACCAAATTTTTTGAACAAAAATGCTGGTCAAGAAACTATATGTGATAGGTATTGGACTCCAATTGAACCTACATGAAATAAAAAAAAAAAAGGCAGTCAACTTTACGAAGGATGCTTAGACATAAATTATAATAGAGCAGCAAATGAGTGGATTCGATTTAGTCCGGAAGATCGGGTTGGAAATGGATCGACTCATTTTGACTCGTTTTTATCTTGTAATGTCTCTATATTCAACCTGGCCTCAAAATCCATACCCAACTATGTAACCAACTTAAATTTGTTTATAAGTGTATATGTTGGTCGAGTTAAATCTAGTACCAAATTAAAAATGAAAAATTACCAAAATTAAAGATAAGATGGAAAAAAAAAAAGAAAAAGCCAATACGAAATATATCAAATAATCAAGCTAAAAATTGAAAAAGAAATTTCATCCTGTTTGCAAATCTGCAACAACACTAACGTCGAGCAGAGAGTTGTCCTCTCCACCAAATCGTTAGTGTGATCAGATCATCGTCGAGCCGTCACCATCGTTGGGCCATTGCCCTTGCCCTTCTCTCTCTGCGCGTGCTTTGGTCACGAGCTCAAGGCCAACTCTTAATGTCGCGCTTAACCGTGAGCCCCGGTCAATTGGAGACCAAGCTTGATCGAACAGATAGGTGACTATTTCGATCAAATCCAAAGAGCACAAAGAGGGACGCAACCTCACCGTGAGATCACGAGTTCAAGGCCAATCGCTGCTATCTCCGTCGTTCATCCACGACCATCTTTGCTTTCTCTATTTGCTGAACCAAAACACTCTCTCTCTCTCTCACTTGGTCTCTTCTCTCGCCACCAAATCTCTGTGAGGTCTAGGTACCACCATTGATGACCTGATCCGGCCATGGCCTTTGAGATCTCACCGAAATCTCAATGGACAGGCCAGATGGAGGAGGCATCCCCACATTTTGAGACGACCTTCCGGTCTCATCATTGTCGAAAATGTTCAGGCGAGCGTGGCTTCCCTTAAACGAGAGAGGGAGAGAGATAGCTGCCCGAAAGCAGAGACAACCACAGACATTGAAGCGATATGGGAGAGAGAGCGAACGGAGCGTGACATGACCCCTCGTCATCACCAGCAGTAAATGGTGTAGCAAGGAAGGTCACGGTTGATATTGGCAGCGGAGGCACGACAATGACACAAGCAGCGCGCGGTTGCAGGGGCTCGGCAGGGGGGAAGACACACGGGGAGGAGAAGAGAGATTGGTGTTGGGATTATGAGGAGTGATTGGGTAAGGTATACCAACGATGGTACAACGGATCTGCATCCAAGAGACACGAATAGTGACACTGAAGGCCATAAAATACAATGTCGTAGATGTGGTGTAAAATACGTAACACGATGGCATAGTGAGTAAAATGCGGAGCAAACAAAAACCGACTCGCAATATGGACTGCATAGGCTATATGAGGGCAAGTGACCGTGAGATACACTAAATTGCTGGCCAACGGTCAATAAAGTGTAACAACTTGCAATAAAGATTCATCGAGAAGCTAAAGTTTGGCATCAGGATCAATATCAGGGGTGCGCTGAACGTCTAGGATTGGGATCAGAACAGGAACAATCTAACGCTAATATCAAGTCAGAATGTGGGAGAATATTGAACTGTGTATTGCTCGATGGAACAATGTATTACATGAAGGGGTATTTGTATCCAAAATGATAAACACAAGGGAAGTAATCTAATATGGGGTATTTAACTCCAACCATCGGAACATCCATGAATCATCACACGTAATAAGCAGTTCCTCTTATATCATGTAGCATAAAAGTCGAAAGCCATTTCAAACAGTCGCAAAATATTGCTCATTTGCTAGTAATAATCTGCTTAAGTTGCTCTTTTGCGCAACATGTTACACATCCATATTTTCCAAAACTAGCTTATAAGTCATATCAAGCTAGTCGCTTTTATTTTCCCTTTATTTTTTTATCATACCCTTTAACGCATATAATAGTAGACCATAGGTAAGCTAGTTCATAAGCCTTTCTTAGTATGGAAGCTCCCCTTCATAGTTGCCTGGAGGATCGTAGTTGCAAACAACGTACCACCACCCGTTGTTACAATTAATCCTAGCGCACCCAACTCGGATCGAATCACGCCAAACCACCTGAGTGTAGTGCAAGCAGTCATGCCCACTCGCGCAAGTGTTGGTGTTGTAATTGTAGTATTGCTTCTCCGCGACCCACAGGCTCACAGCATAGGTGCCCGCGAACGTACCGGTGCCCTTGGCGAGGTTCTCGCCATAGGGCCCATTGGAGTGCACGAGGCTGCATTCTCCGACTCGTTGGTTTGCGTAGCTCTGGGCATAGGCAGCAACGGTGTTGTCCCATGTCATGTTTGCCACGCCAACTTGATTCCGGGCGGCATTGTGAGAGTTGAGATAGTCTTGGGGTGAGTTTTGAGCATGAGTAGCTTGAAAGAAGGAAATGGAGAGGAGAGAGACAATGATAGTTAGAGAATTCATGATGCTCAAGGAATTAGCCATGGATGTGATGATTTTGGTTCACGATGATATGTTTTGTGATCATTAGGCTATTTATAGAAAAAAGATGAAGATGTTCGGGGCTTCAACTTATCATGTCCAATGAACTTATCAAGGAACATCTCCTTTGGACACTACAACCTTGCGTTCAAATCCAGTGTTGCATCGAAAGAATTGGTTTTGCATGTTCTTTCTTTCCTCAAATGGAAGCAAGGTAAAAAAGGCTTAAGTGAAGTTTGAAATTGAGCAAATTTAATACATTATTTTAAGAATAGTGTTAGACATTATTTCGAGTAATGCTAAAGACATTGAGATTAGTGCATGAAATAAAATTATTAGGGGGTTTAAATAAAGTTTAACTGAGTGTAATGAGCAAACAAATCTTATTCAACTAGACTGTTATGATGCACGTATGAGTTATATTAAAAAAATCTCACATCAGATAATTAGTGTGGTATATAACAGTTAATATATCATAGTTGGCCCATAACTCATTAACTTAAGCTTTTGAATGAAGGTGGGTCCAACTGGATATATTAACAGGCTCAGACTTAGGCTCCTCTTGGTAATATCCCCGGACGAAAAGTATTGGGTTTCTGCTATGCTTCCGTAACACAGACTGTCTATCACTGGCATCTTCTCGACGCCGTCGAGGTTGTGGCGAGCCTCCAGATCTGGAGGTGTGTCCTCCATATCTAGAGGCTCAAGCCCTCCACTCCACATCTAGAGGCATCGAGACCCAGATTCGTCGCCCTCAACGAGCAGGTGGTCGCCATCGCTCATTGATGTGGTAAGAATTAAAATAAGTTGGACAAATGACACGATCTTGAAATGGCAACAAGAGATGGACATATAAATGGAATGGAGACAATAAATTTATATCCCTGCTGAACTTTAACATATATATTACTTAATAAGCCAATCTTTCATGAGAAGATAAATTTTAAAATCATTCTTAGGGTCTTCACCTTTTACCTTATCTTAAGCTTTCTGATATGTACGTTAGAGGAGCACTATTACTTTCATTCGACGCTATAAGGCGGGAGGTACATGTGCTTCTCTTTTGTCTCAATTAAGTTATCATCCACTTGTTCCTTAATTAATCTAAGCATGAAAACCACATATAATTAAGCAGCTACTGTTACGGGTCTGCAATTGGCATGGATGCGAAGGGCACGCCCTCACATCCCCGCTTACCATTGATCGGTTGGATGTGCGTCGTGTATCCGTCTCTCACCCAATAAATAAGCCTTATAACATAGGAATTATTACAGGGAAAAGTATCGGAAAAGTCCTAAACCTTTCAACCTGTGCCAATTCAATCCTTCGAGCTAATTTCGGCCGGATATTACTGACGCAGACGCCGGCCGGCTTACCTACGTGGCACCGCCGACATTGACGTAGACAACTTTTAATAATTTTTTAATATTTTTTAAAAATTTTATTCATTTTTTTTATTTTTCTTTTCTTTTCCTTCTTTTTTTTCCTTCCCTTTCTTCTTCCTCCAACCAGTCACCGACCAATGACCGGCCAGAGGCCAGGGTTGACGAGGCTTGCCCTCTCTAGATGGCCACGAGGGCGGCCTTGCGCTGGGCTGGCGAGGCTCAATCTCGCCGGATCGGGCGAGGGCCAATCCTTGCCGGCCATGGGCAAGGCCCAACCTTGCCAAATTCGATGAGGTCTTGCCTAGCCAGAGGCTGTGAGGTCAAAGGCCGCAACCTTGCGGCCACTGGCGAGATGAGGTCGTGCCTTGCCCAGCCACTGATGAGGCTCGAGCTCTAGTTAGAGGCTGCGTGGTCGAAGGCCACGACCTCGTGGTCACTAGCGAGGGCAAGGCTTGTGGCAAGGCTTGCCTTTGCCGTTGCCAGTAAGGGCAAGCCTCGCTGGCCCTAGCCTCTAGCTGGTCACCAAGGTCCGGCAACCGATTGGAGGAAGAAGAAAGGGAAGGAAAAAAATAAAAATAAACAAATAAATAGAAAAAAAATTAAAATATTGCTAAAAGTTGCCCACGCCAACATCGGCGGTGCCACATTGGCCGGCCAGCGTCCACGCCAGCAATATTGGGCCAAAATTAGCCGGAATGACTGAATTGGCACTAGGTCAGGTTTATGACTAAATTAGCACAAAAAAAAGATTTATGACTAAATTGACACCAATACAATAGATTTAGGATTTTTCTGACACTTTTTCCATTATTATGAGTCCTACATATGTCAAAAATTGAATCTGATTATAGAAAATTTTAAATCTTATATGAGCCCCACGTAAATATTGTCATATTCAATTGTCCAGATTTATGATGTGAGATACGATGTAAAGTAGAGCAAGGATCCGTTAGGAAGACGATTTGCCTAACTTATCGACAGAAATATATGTGTCATTTTTTTATTTAATTCTCAGTTTCTCCTTAATTGAGATTAATTGTTGTATTTGACAATCAATATATTGGGTACTTTGCAACAATTTAAAAAATTATGGGTTAAATTACCAAATTTTCTAGAAATTTTTGCCCTTCGCAATAGGCACCACCTAGTCATGTGAGAGCACATGACTAAAGTTTCTGACGAGAATTTGGCTGGAGTCCAGGCGAGAGAGCACATTAAAACTGATTTTGAAATGCCAAGGTTAATATTGCAAAAACTGAGATAGATATCAAGGGGCAAATTGCCACGGTCGCAAGAACGTGGGGGCTATAATTATACAAATGAATTCTAGTATCGATTTTAGAGTAGATTTAATCCCATCGATGACCAGCCCGCGCCACAAGGGAAGAAGTGGACTCTAGTGGTACTACTAATGGAGGCGAGAACTAGAACGTATTCAATCCTATTTCCCGATGGGACTAATTCACAATGGAATGTGTTCGATTGGAACATGAAATTGAGTACAAGAATATAAGAGATAGTGAGAATTCTTGACCTCTCTCAACTCGAAGATTTAAGATTTGAAGTGATGTCCTTTCATTGATTTCGCATAATTTCATCGATTTATCCTAAACATTTTCGTTTCAATTGTAATTTGGTTATTTACCATCTACGAGTATCCCCTGCTAAGGGTCCAAAGGTTTTTGTGTTTTGTTTTGGGCAGGACCTTGAATCCTGGACAAGGGCCTATTGCTCTAAGGCCCGACCTAGGCCCACCCAACCTGCATAGTTACCATAGATTTTTGTCTTGATGGGCGGGCCAGAGCATGAGTTTTGACTCAATTCCAGGGCCCGCAGTTGATTCACTGTAAAAGAAAAAGTGCTCTCGAAGATATAATAAACGAATTCTCTATCAATTATACACAAGGAAACACTAATTCATACAGCATCGAACTAATAGGATCACATACGTGCCGAAAACCTCAGGGCGCGGAAATCGCGCCAAAATATGCTCAACAAGCCAATTTCATAAATGTATTGGTGGCACGAATTAAATCAAATGTGGAAGAGGAGAAGAAAACAAGACGAAAGAATTGGAGATGATCTGTTATGGATCGGCCGAATCAATATTTGGGAAGAGAGCACTCCTTGGGTAAGTTGTTTTGGAACCTTGCATTGTCCTGGCAATAGTCGTATATCATGTGATATCTCCTGACCCATTTGAACCACCTCCTCTGTGTCCATGTCAAGGAACTGAAACCCTCGTTGTTCCACCAGTTTGGGGGGCTCTCCGCCCTGCAGAACCTCGGATTGCCCTTCCAAACGCAGGCGTCGATCTTGTAGTCCCCGAACGAGGCCACGAAGGGGCCCTTCGACCAGTCGACCTTGTCGCGCCCGCCCCGCGTCGCCCAGCTATCGCCGTTCCATAGGGTGGCTTTGACGCCCATCGGTTGCCACCTAGGGAACGCCACCCCCTTGTCCGCGTGATTTCGGTACGTTCGGATTGGGATTGAATCCACAAAGAAGCTGCAAAGAGGTTTCAATCCATTATTTCACAAGCATGATCAGATTTATTTCCGAATTTATCGAGCCGAAAATAGAGCGAACAAATCAATGAATTAGCCTCTTTTCCAAGGTTTTATTTGTTTTGGAGGGCCTAAGTTAGCCAAGATTTGGATGCAAATTTTTCAATCATGGTCAATTTCCAATGGATTAGTTAGCAATAGCTCAAATGCACGCCGTCTGTACATGGTGCAGTGCCTTACACAATCTGGTGGAGGTTCCACAAGATGGAGTAGTTATGGAAGTCTTCAGTCGGATCGAACCAAAGGTAAATCCGCTCTTCGCGGTTGTCGAACCCGTCGGCGTATACATTGGTTTGGAGAATGTAAGGCTGCCCGGACACGTTGCCGAGGAACTCGTAGTCTATCTCGTCCCGGTTCGGCTGATCGGACGTCAGCTGCGGTTCGATCCCAATTCAAATCAGCCAACGAGGCACAGGCCAACAAGAAGAGCAAAGAGACCCAAAACACAAAACAGAAATAAAGATAGTAACATAGTTTCTCACATAGACGGCCACGACTGTGCCGGCCGAATCACCGGGAATTAGCTTTATTTTCATGTCGATTTGCCCGAACAAGAACATGTCATTGGAAGCAAAACCAGCCCCTAAAAGCAAAATTCAGATCATACAAAGATCATCAAAAGAAAAATCGCACACATTAAAGATGTGAACTTAGCGGATTTCACGCATTATCTTCACGGCATATGTACCCGATTCCGGGTCGAGAACCAAGCTTCTAGTCCGACCGTCTGCTGAAGTATTCACATGGTTCGGCGACCACATCACGAAGAAGTCCTTATTGAAGTCCCCGGTCGACACGACGGAAGAAAACGAAACTCGAAGCAAATTCAACACCGATACGATGACGAGAAACGAGCGAGGATACTTCATCTTCATCGTCTTTAATTATGTGAGATCAATGTGCCTTCTTGAAGGATCATTGACATGTGAGTGAAGAGTCATATATAGGTAATGCAATGGCTATGAAGTTAGTGCCAAAAGTTTGAAAATGTAAGAAGAAGCAAAGAACGTTCTCTCAAATTAAGATAGAATATCTTCGATGGGAAGCAAAGGGACTTAGGGTTGGTGGAATCTTGTGAGAAGATTGTGAGGTTTGCTTCCCGTTCGGTAGTGTTGATCAGGTGTAGACAAGGATAAACAAATGGGTAACTCTAGACTTTCATAATCACTCGGCTTAGGCATTTAGAACAATGCTTTTGAATAATTTCGGCGTTAGTTAGTTATATCAGGGCTATACGGACTCGAACCGCAGACCTTCCCAATAGAACATATATGTCCATCCGAAATTCATTCATAAATCACGTTTAAAATTGAACACGCGACCAAAGGTCAGGCATTTTACTTCCATTTTCACTCTTTCCATGAGTAGGATTCATATGCGCAAGCCCTCTACCTGTCTCGGTAGCTCATCGAACCGATTGAGCTGTCAAAAACCAATCCGGTAATTCTTTCGCATCGTCGATTTCTCGAAAAGAATCGAAGATTACACACGGTCTAATGTGATACTTTGAGTTATAGCCTTTCTCAACAAAAGAAAGAGAGCTCTCCTATTTCAGTTCATTCCGCAGAAAATTTTAAGAAAAAGCTCAAAATCTGACAGATCTACCCTGACTTTCCAGTTCTGCTGATCTTTCTGAGAATAACTTGATCTCCTAGGCTTCCTTTTCAAGATCCTTGACATTGGGACCCGGCTTGTTGATATTCCTTTCTTTCTCCATGTCAAAAGAGAACTTGGTTCGAACTCAATTTTTTAATTTACTAAGACAAAATCTCAGTTATTGGATGGAGATCATGATTATGTGTATTGATCATGACTACAAGATTGAAGCCAAAGCTAAGCTAAGCTATTACTTTAGTTTTTGCTTTGCTCAATTTTCCATCAAATGATTGCTAAACTTGAATAGTATTGTCTTGTCCGCCTAAGTAAATAATCAATACATTAAGAGCAACCATGTTTCGTTGATTATGTTTTGTGACTAAGATTCATACCACTTGAATATGAGTTCAAGAATGTCACTTATTGAAATTTTGTTGTTAGGTCCATATGTTACTATATGATCGAATACTTTATTCATTTGCAAAAGCTAAATACCTAATTTAAATTTTAAGGGAAAAAAGCACAAGAAGTCACTGAACTTTTGTTTTGTTCAATTAGAACCCTAAACTTTATGATTGTTCTAGTTCATCCTTCTGTTGAAATTATGGATTTGATGATGGCGTGGCCATTGAGTCGACGTTGAAATGCTGATGTGGCATCCTACCCGGCTTTTAGAAAAACTAAAACACAAAATAAGAAATATATAATTAAAAATTTAAAAGAAAACAAGATAATTATTAAAAGGGTTAATATCACAAAAAATCCCAAACTGGAACACTAGTGATAAATTTACCACAAACTAATTTTTTGACCACCAAAAATCTCAAACTAGTATACCTATAACAATTTACCCTCCGTTAGTTTCAGTTAAATTTTACAATTAAATTGCTGAGTTAAATGACACGTGGCAATTGACAGGTGTACCAGTTTGGGATTTTACCCTCCATTTGTCACAAGTATACTAGTTTGTGATTTTTCGTGAGTATTAATCCAGTTTATTGAAAATTAACGGATGGTAAATTTGTCACAAATATACCAATTTAGGGTTTTGATAGTCAAAAAATTAGTTCGGGATAAATTTGTCACAGGTATAACAGTTTTGGGTTTTGATGGTCCAAAATTAATTTGGAGTAAATTTATCACATATTTATCAGTTTAAGGTTTTTTGTGGTATTAACCCTTATTAAAAAGAACTAGAAAATAAATAACTTTTGAAAAAAGAAAAAAAGAAGGCGTGTTCACCAGCAATGTAAATCTAATCCAAGAGTCAAACTGTCGCCAGAGTCGTGTGACCCTTGTGACAATTGGCCGAGGGTCACGTGATCCCGACGTGCAGATACTGGCTTTGCGCGGTCCCAGGAACGGGGGCAATAAGGGCTCGGCGGCCCTCACCGGCAACGTGGGGGTGCCGCTGCCATCACCTCCCGCCGCCCAAGACCACCTCCCCCCTTCTTCTATCCCTCTCTTAGGTCTGGACATGGACATTGAACGAGGATGACCGTCCAAACTTAAAGATTCCTCCTCGGTTATAATGAGCCTGTCTGGGCCTAGTACGGGGTTCATAACAAGGCCGAGCCCAGCATTGATTGAAGGGGCACTTGGGTCCCCACCGGGGTTGTCTAATTTAAGAGAGTTATGACTAGCGTTTGCAAGCCCAACCACCTCCATTAATGAAGCCTTGAAATGAACGACCATGGAAGCACATAGGAGGGTGACCTTCATCTCCTAAGGTTGGCAGTTGGCACTCCATCTAGTCAAAAACCATGCGCAATGTCCTAGAGTCTTATTGTATCAGTCGGTCCAATCGAGTATCGATTAGGCTTTCGCTGCGATGTCTCAACTTATTCTGTCAAAGTCCAATAGATCGAATTGGGTACCAAAACAATATCCTATTTTGTTTGTTGGCGCAATTTCGAAAAATATTTAGCGATGATCCTGACTCATACGGTGCTTTATTCGGTTTCTTCCAAACAAAGAGATTCCGGTCAAATTTGACGGAGACATCAAAAAAAGCCACTTCACCTAATATCACTAAGGTCTTGTCATGTCCTCACCTGTCCAATTACGGGCATCATGAGCGAGGATGCGCAAATATGAAATGTCAACGTCAATTCCTCCAAAAGTCGAGAATGGTTTCAATCAGCGTCGTCCAAAATGTGTGGGACGAACCTATGCGGACAGCACATTTATGAAAACCTACTCTTTTCAGCAACATATCTATCTATCGTGTAAAATTCCAAACCTCAACCTTCATTTGAGAGGAAAAAAAGGGCAGGGCATTTGGGTAGCTAGCAAATCGATTGAAAGCAAAAATAAAAAAATAAAAAAAAAATTGTTCAATTTCAAGACTCTTAGACAAGAAAGAATTATGACACAAATCATGTGACAAAGGCATAATTTTACGTTTTACAAGCCTCGGTTTTAAAAAGTTGCACTTGCGTAAATTTATTGGGAAAAAGTCACAAAAAAACTCCAAATTATATTCACTGTGATATATTTCACTACAACACTAATACCCTGAATTTTTTATTGTAACATAAAAACTTCCAAACTTGTACTTATATAACACATTTACCTTCCGTCAAGATCCGTTAAATGATTTTTTAGCCAAAACAACATCGTTTTTATTTGACTTAAGTCACGAGAGCGCCATGTCAACATTAATGGAGGGTAAATATATCACATGAGTACAGATTTGAGATTTTGGGTATCACAGAAAAAAAATTTAGGATTAATATATCATAGTAAGCATAGTTTAGAATTTTTTATGGCTTTTGTCCAAATTTATTTGATGTACTTAATTATACTGCCTCCGCGTAGAATTTTACAAATGAAAAGTGCCAAAAACTCTCCCCACTTTTGACCCCAATACCATTCTCGATCAATATACTTTTTAAAATGCCAATTTGCATCTTGTAGTTTCGTGCGGAACACCAAATTGTATTCCTCATCGAGTAACCACTTAAATTTATTTTTAGAGAAATCGTTGCTTTTCTTTCATATTATCTTTGCTCATCTTCTAAATTCCCCAACCTTTCAAATATGAAAAATAAAAACACTAATTAGAGAATTATAACCCAACTACCCTAACCAACTTCCGTGTCTCCTGTCCACCGTCCGTGTCTCCGATGTCGCGGCCATACTCTTCTTGTTCATGCGTCTAGTGTCGTTGGCGTCCCCACACCTTTAAGCTAGGGCTGGCGGCCTCCGCCAGGCCATGAACGACCTTGATCGAGGTTTCCCATGGACAACATACAGAGAGAGAGAGAGAGAGAGAGAGAGAGAGAGAGAGAGAGAGAGAGAGAGTTGGTGAAAAAAAAAACAAACTAAATGAGAAAGGAAACGGCTCGCTAAAAAGAGAAAGAAAAGGCATCGGGTCTTAAGAGTAAACCTGTCAAACGGATGAATCGGGTCGGGTCGGGTCAAAAATGGTCCAATCCAAATAAACTCATTTAATCCGTTTTGACCCATTTCCACGTAACGCAAATATAATAACTCATACCCAACCCAACCCATATTGCTAAAACACTGACATATTTAACTCAATCTAGAAAAACCCATACACAAACTGAGATGAGAGTACGAAGTGAGTGAATGTGAGATTGAGCGAAGGCAAGAGAAATGAGTTAAATTTAAATAAGTTGTAAACTCATTTATGACATATTTACACATATCATGTTTATACCCATTTATGACACATTTATGGGTTAAGAAATGGGTTTATGACTCATTTTGACAAGTCTACTTAAAAGCAACATAATAGCTGCCTAAACGACAACAGCGGCAGTTCGATGACAGGGTAGAGACAGAGTTTAGGGTTTGTATATTAGGGAAGTCGAGAGCTCGGGCGAAGGACGATGTGGTCATTTTGGCAATGTTTTTCATAACAAGATGTTGGAAAATTGCATCGAGGCCAAATGTGAGGAGGGTATCTAGTATTTTCTCCCGATCACATAATATTCTACTTATAACTCCACGCTTGGTATTTCTACGTGCGTGTGTATATATATATACACGTATACGTATGTATGCAAAATGGGCTTTCCATTGGGCCCGGCCCGTATCACAACATGGCCCATCCATCAGCACCCAAGCCACATTTCAGCTTGGATCATTTTTTTTTTTGTAATATACAATTTTCAGCTTCTTGAGAAATCACAATTTCTTTTTTAATTTGACAATCACTTCAGAAACCCCGTCAATATCACGGCAGTAATGACGGCACTCTCCCGGCATTTTCTGATTTATTTTTTCTCTCTCTCTCTCTCGTTTTCTGCAAATTCTTATTTTATCATATGTTTGTATTATTATTTTTATTCATATACTCGACGACAATGGTCGTTCTTGGTTCTGGATCCGCTACCTCGACGGAGCTTCTCCTGACTTGGGGACTTCTCTCTCTCCTTCCTCTTCTTCTTCCTCTTCCTTCGTCTTGCGTCGCGTTCCTTTCACTCCACTTCGCTTGGTTGCTCCTCCTCCTCCAGTCCAGGTACTCCCGTGACCCTTCTCCTCTTCCATTCTGTAGTTTGCTCCTCTCTGTCTCTGTCTGTGTCTCTGTCTCTTTGTCTTCTTTCTTGTCGAGGGGATTGATGGGTGTGTTGGTGATTGTCTCTAGAATTTTTGTGCTTTCGAACGAGGCAAGATTTGGGATTTGAGGGTTCTGATGATGGGTTCGGAGTCTTGCGTTTGATCGGGGTTTCGATTTGTCTTCTTGGGGTCCCCCCGCCCCCACAAACCCCCCCTTTGGGTCATCATCTTTCTTGGGTTTGTTCGACGTCCCTGTAATTTGCGGGGTATTGAAGAAAGACTGTGGATAGCTTTGTTTTCTTTGGAGTTGCTTGCGTTGGTTCGTGAAGTTTGCATCTGCATGTTGTAAGTTTGTGGAGATGATGGGGGTTAGCGTGAGATGAGGGAGCCTCGTAATCGCTGAGAAATGAAAATGTCGCAGTTGTTCTTTTTTCTTTCTTGTCTACGAATTCAAGTGGGAGGAGGGTCTAGAATAGGTTGTTTCGTACCAAATTACTGCAAATAGGAGCTCTTCTGAGGTTCTTGTTAATGGCTGTGTGTTTCTTTAAGATGGTTGTTGAGGAATTGAACTGACCTAAGAGTCTGATCGATCGCGCGGCCTTCTTTGGTTAGAACTTAGGAGGAATATGGAGTATACAAGACTTTATGTGGAATTGATTATATCGATTTTGTGAGGGAACAACCTGTAGGTCGTTGTGATAGGCTGATGAGTCTGTCATACTGTGTTACTCTACCCTTTTTTTCATTTATCTTGTTGTTCATCATGTTCTGTTTTGGTAAATTGACCCACAGTGAATTCTGGACAGGCTTTGTTAAACTTACTGTAAGAGTGTAGGAGGTCTCATCATGTTCAAGAAGTCATCGAGCAGAAATCAGAGATCTAAAGGTGTGAAGATCAAACAAAGTCTTCAGATTTTACTTTTGCTTGGTATATGCTTCTGGTTGATATATCAAGTCAAGTACTCACATGATAAGAAGAGAGAACTGAATGAGAAAGATGCCAAAACATCGGTGAAAGATGAACGTGGTGGTGCTGTGAAATTTGGGAGAAAGGATCTTCATCCTCGGCGGGATGAAACGGCTACGATCACAAATCATGTGGAAGATGAAGAGGAAAGCCGAGAGGAGATTGATGAAACAGTTACAATCACGAATCATGTAGAAGATGAAGAGGAAAGCAGGGAGGAGAATGATGAAAGTAAGCGCGACGAAGAGCATGATGATGAAGAAACAAGTAAGCACGAGGTAGAACAGGGAGAAGAGGCGAACAAACACGAACATGATGAGAGAGAGGATGCAAATGAGAGTGTAACAGAGCAAGAAGCTGCAGGGAGACATGAAGAGGAAGAAGAGCGCGAAGAAGAGGAAAATAGGATTGATGATCCGGAAGTAGTGAGAGAAGGTGGAGAGGACGAGACTGATGAGCCTGACGAAGAGAAAGCGCAGGGAGAAGTTGATCGCGAGGAGGAGTTCATTGATGAGGAGAAAGAGAGAGAAGAGGATAATGATGAGAAGGAGACTGAAGGTGATGACGGGGAGGACAAAGAAGGTCAACCGGAGGATGAGAATGTTTTGGAGGATGAAGAACACGACGAGAGTGAGAGTAGTCATAGTAGACAAGAGGCACGCGAAGAACATTACAAAGCTGATGATGCTTCCAGTGCAGTTACCCATGACGCCCAATCTACAGTGATAGACACGGAAAAGCTAGGTTCACATGATGCCAATGACAACTCTGGATCAAGTAAAACAGGTCAGGAAAGCAACTCGACCATCTCTAACCAAATTAATGAAGGTCAGGATAACTCGAGGTCAAATACGGAAGAAAATCAAGTTGCTGAAAAGGCTGCAAATTCCAGTGAAGTGGTAAGTGGAATTAAGGATCCTGATGTTACCAAGACTGGCCCTGCAAATAGTTCGCTTCTGAAACCAGCTGTTACTACCAAGGCCAAGGACCAAGAAGATGCAGGAGTCAAATCCTCGGAAGTGAATATGGGATCTAGCAATAACCTGACAATGACTGGCCAGCCGATTAATGGAACCGAGAACATCTTGGATTCCCCTCAAGCTCATAATCGAACCGGGGTTGATGCGCATGCCAGTGATGGCTCCAACCAGCAAAATATTAGAGTGGAGATGGCCAGAGCCTCTACCGGAAATTCTTCTGGCGGCGAATCTGATTCGACTTCGTCGATTTCCACTACTGAAACGGGGAATTCATCAAATTTGAATAATGATCAGACATCAGCAGTGAAGGATGAGAACATAAGCTCTGACATGAAAGGTGAAGCAGAGAACGTGTTGAAACTACCGTCCATGACAAAAGTGAAAGATGATCATACCCAAAATGAGGCGTTGGATCGCCGGAGTGAGGCAGGCAGCAGTAACACTAGCTAATATGTCCACTTTCTGATTAACGAGGATCGCAAGACTCGTGTGCACTTCGAGGTTGTCCTCACTGAATCTTTGGATTTTTTCCGATTTGCTGGAGACAAGATAAACGGCTGGACTTAGATACAGGTGATATGCTTCTTGGGCTCTGAAGGGGTGTATGAATTTTGGTTTCTTTTTTCTTTGATGTGCACGCGCATTAGCGTTCTTCTTCAGTTGTTTTTGCAATGTGTATTCCCTCAGATTCTCTCTGTGCCAATAACTGCAAAGTCTTACTGGGTTTCTATAATGATCTGGACATGTTGCCCACGCATTTTGCGGGCGTTACTGGATGAACAATTGAACAGATGACCTGACAATTATGATGACTGACTGAAATGAATTCCTTCATGGATCTTTTTGGGACAATCACCGAGAAAATCCTTAAACTCGCCATGGAAATGAACTGAACTCCTAGAACTCTCGTTCCGAGTATTCAATTCCTAAGAACTCGTAACTTCGATGTGCTCGAGTCTTTTCATTGACCTTGTCAATTTTAAGCAGATGGGAAATATCGCGCGGCTCTTTTTATTCTTAATCACGTGGAACTTTTAATACTCTAGAATCCAACGGAGCTGAGAAGCTGATGGAAAGATTGAAATGGAGGGCTTTTACGATTTGAATACACTAAATGAAAAATTTTAGAATTCATGTGTATTATCGTGACAAGTTTTAGTACTCTTGTTTTAATCGTCTCGATTTAATTTTAAGGGTTGAGATTAGCAAAATCTGTCTTCAATGTTTGCTTATGTAAGATCAGTGAATTTTAAGTTGGAAAAGCAACTAACGGTTTATGTTTAGTTAAGGTGCGTATTTATGCGGGAGCACTGACCAGCAAGTATTTCCCAATGAAAAGTAGGTACTAACATATTCATCTCTAGTGACTTTTGATAAGCATTGTAAATGCTCTTTTGAGTAACACTGCGTTTAGTTCAGCTTTTTCAAGGCCTCTTAAAAAAGAATATGAGGTGTTTGGCAAACATTTTTGGGACCTCTTTAGCCAAATGCTAGTCTTGACATATTTCTATCTTGCTTAAGATATTTCTATCTCTTGGTCGTCAACGAAATTTTGCCCAAATTTGTGACTCAAGTAAAATTTTGTGATTTTTTAAGATGTAAAAATTTTACAGTAAAATTGGGACAAGACCAAAAGTTTGAGATTTTTCATGGGGCAAAAAGCTTAGGGTAAAATTAGAACAAGACATAAAGTTGAGGGTTTATGAGATAAAAAAATTTTAGGGTAGAATTGAGACATGACCTAAAGTTGGAGGTTTTTATGAGATAAAAGGTAGAAATAAGACAAAAGTTAAAATTTGAGATTTTTTGGGTATTAGGCCTTAGTTAAAGTGCGATTTATGCGGGAGCACTGACCAGCAAGTATTTCCCAATGAAAAGTAGGTACTAACATTTTCGTCTTTAGTGACTTTTGATAAGCATTATAAATGATCTTTTGAGTAACGCTGCGTAAGGTTATTTCTATAGTTAAATAATTTTTTTCTACCAAAACTACCCTACTAATTTTTCGTTGTTCAATTTAGCCCTCGTTGTTACTGTTCATCTTCTCCGTGCGAGGGCAGCCGGTGAGGTCGCACGACCCTCGCCAGGGGTCACTGGAGGCCGCCCGAGGTCATGCAACCTTAGACGACGACCGCTGGCGACAGATCTAGCTTGCCAGCTACTGGAGCCCTTGCTGGAGCAGGCGAAGGGTTCGAGCTTTTCTTAATAAAAAATAGACAAAAAAAGGTAGCCAAAGTTATTTGCAAGAAGAACTATGCCAAACACTATTTAATCCAAGTTTGCTTCACGAAGGACTTTTTCCCAAATGTAATTTGCATTTCCCCAAAATCCTTGAGGCTAAAGACCGTTGCATTTCCCTAAAATCCATTTCCAAAGCCGAACCAAACATAGCCTATGTAAATGCGCAACGAAGTAAACGCGCAGCGGAAGAAGCGAATGAGTCGTGAGCATGCACAAGGGAAAATCATCGATGGTTTTATCACTTGTCGGCCATTAGATATAAGAGTCATAGTCATAGGTTTCGAGGTATAATGGATCAAGGAAGTGATGAAAATGATCGAGTGAGTCTTGAAGCTTCTAAAGCTATATGGTTTGTTGAGTCCGCTAGAGTATTCTTGAGGGCAATACGGAAAATGCACATTATTCTAGAGTATTCTTGAGGGCAATATGTGTATAAGTGAGGGTCCACTCCCATTCGTTTGTATCATCTCAAAAGTAATAAAAATCCAAACATTCTCTCTCTAAAATCCTTATGATCCAGATAGGGAATGCTAGATCAACAAACCAGTGACATAAACATGCCTGTCTGATCAATATTTATTGATGTCTAATCTAAAGCTTCGTAATGTCAACCATTGGATTTGATCACGGCAAATTTGTTGTGCTTTAGACCACGGCAATGTAGATTCGACCTACACATCTAATTTTCCATGACATAGCAATGGGAATTACATTTGCCTGTAGATTAAATTCCGATATTAAATGGACAAACATGGCAAGATAGGCGAGTCTATTCTACCCTCTTGTACCCTCATGTGATAGGCGAATTGCCACGGGTAGGGCTGTCAAAATAACCCAGTCAAACACGACCAGATCTGATCCAAACTGACCCAAAAATTTTCATTTTAGGTCGAGTTGGGTCTCAACTTATCTAGGCAAGAGTAAAATAATTGAGTATTATTTTGGATCTATTAGGCTTGAGTACCCAAGCCCAACCGAAACAATGAAATCCTTTCACATCTTGCGAAGATATCTTTCTTCCACATCTCTCTCACTCTCTCGCCATTTGTTACTTTGCCATGGTGCAGGGGAGCAACCGCAGCGAGGGGAGCAGGGCCAGGGGCTATAGTGGCAAGGGAAGGGGCTATGGTGGCAGGGGCGATGGCTATCGGTGGTGGCAGGGGAGGAAGGTACGGAGGAGGAGGTGGCGGCAGAATCTGTTACAACTATAGGGGGAAAACATGTGTAATTTAACCTTAATTTAAAATAAAAATCTAAAACAGAAAACCCGATCCGACCCAAACCGGCCCAATCGTGCAACTATATCTTATTCGGGTTCTTGTCGGGTATCATGAAAATCCAACCCAACCCATTGACACCTCCTAGCCACGGGACCTTTTCAACCAGTAAACCTAAGCATGTCCATGTCAAGCTTTGGATATGAGTAATCGGTTCCAAGACAGATAGGTTCCAGCTTGTAAACCTAAGCTTGTCCATGTCAAGCTTTGGATAGGGGTGATCGGTTTCAGGTTCCACTACCCTGTTAGAACCGATTTCCATTGTTTGGAATTAGGATCGACCCTAGAACCTGGTTTGGTTCAAGGAATCAGTTTTTTTTTCTTCATTGTTTAAAAACATCAAGACAAATAGCAATTATAACAAAATATTATGAGTAAAAAATGGCTCAAAGTAAAGCATGGATAAAAAAAAAAAAAAAAATATAAAGAGAATAATAAATCTTTTCTTCCAACCTCGGTTCAACCAATTCCCGAGTGGATAGCTAGGTTCAATACCCAGAACCTAGAACCTACCCACACAATACCAATTCCAAAAATTTGAAACCAGATTGTTGTTTCCACTGGTACTGGAACCCTACCTACCTAATGGACGGTCCGGTTCAGTTCCAAGATCCGGACCAATTGCACAACCCTAGCTTTTGAGTCGTGTATCACCCAAATTCACCGCCAAATCTAAAGCTACACAATGTCGACCATTGGATCGGGTAGAATGCAAATGTATTCATATATTGTCTGAATTAAAAATCGAAAAAAAAAAGTCCAATTAGATAGATAAAACACTCTATATTCCACCACCAGACATCTCGGCTCTTGGCTGGCAGAGCGTCACTTTTGATTTCCACTTGGCAAAATACTTTAGAGAAGTTAAAAATCACCATGCTTGATAGTTGATAACTGGGATGTCATTTGTTTGTGGGCTGATCAAATGAGATTTGACAGTGCGACATGAAAATGTTGAGAAATAGTGACTCTAAAATTTTCTTTATTTACATAAAAGATAGATGATAAAAAAAACATTTGAAACTACCCAAATTCATAGCATAAGTAGAAGAAGAAAGAATTCCTGCACTCATCAATAAAAACCAGGTCCTCCTACTTGGCCATAATCGTTGACTTTCCCTTCATTCTCATGCACCAAATGGTTGACCGCCATGTCAGCGTCGCCGACCTCGGCTGCATTCACCGCCGCGCCCACCGTGGCCCCATACGGCTGGAGGAGCGACCTCATCATCATGTCGTCGGCCTTCATGACAACCTTCTGAATCAGCTCTTCGACCGCGACCACATACTGCTCGAGCTCCTCCGCTGCCATGTCGTTGTCCAACGCCTTATCCCACCAGAAACCGCCGCCACCGCCGCCGCCGCCCATCCTGTCCCTCTCGCCTCCCTTCAATTGCACGCCTCGCTGCTTCTCTCTCGCCAGCTCTTGCAAAACCTCGTCGTACTCCTCGTTCAGCGCGCGCAGAGCTGGCACGATGTCGCCGTCGGCCACCGCTCCTTCTTCATCTCCATCTCCATCTCCAGCCCGGGAATCGAGGCTAGTTCCACGGAGGTAGCGGTCGACGACGAAGTCAACGTTCGGGTGTCCAAAGCAGAAGATCTTGTGGACCGGTGAGAAGACGATGATGGCGATATGCGCGCCGCAGAGGACGCAGAGCTCGCTCGCCTTCTTGAAGAGCCCCGACCGGCGTTTCGAGAAGGTGACTTGTTGGCTGCTCTTGTTGGTGATCTTCTTGATCTCGATCTTCTTCCTCCCTTTGCTTGGCTTGGGGGTCTTGGTGAGTTTCTTTATGACAACCATGGTGAATTTCTGGAGTTATTTATGATGATGATGATGGGGAAGAAGACATGTCGAGAAAGGCATGTAGTTTTAATTAAGTAATGTGGTTCTTGGAGTTTAATTATGGAAAGGGTGATTTTAGTTTATTTGGACATAGATAAATTTGGTAAGACAAAAATTGAGGATCAAGATGGACGCAGAATATTAAGATTGATTGGCATTTTGGATAAGTTTATGAAATGTTTTCCCGGTGGATCTCTCCCGAATTAAATGGGGAATCTTAAATCTTTTGACTCTTGTCTGAAAATCCCAAAAATACTCACGCTAGCTAAATAAATAATAATGACCGACTATAGATAAACAATAAATGAAACAGTAATTTGAAAAGCTCGCATTATTATAACTATAGACACACCTTAAAACGGGATAATTACCCAATTCATCATAAACCTATTGTAAGGATTCCTATTCAGTCATAAGCTTCTTCAAATTTTGTAATTCCTAAACTTTTGCGCAAAATTCTAATGCAGTCCTCCCGATCAATTGTCGCCAAATATTGCTAACACAGCGTCCAATCATCATCGGTCATCTTACGTGACATGCTGACATGGACAATTTGTGGATTGCCGTGTTAGAGATTTCCGACGACAATTGGCTCAAATGACTACGTTAAAATTTCAAGTAAAAGTTTAATACTACATTGATAAAATTGAATTTAGGACAGAATTGGGACCGTACAATAAGATTAGGACTAATTAGGTAATTTCCCTCCTTAAAACCCTTTTTTTTTTGTCTATCCCTCCTTAAAACTTAAATAGTCTGAAATAGCGCTCATCGAGACCACATCAATGGTAAGATTGATGAAAAAGGAAAAACATACATTTAACGTTGACCAATCAATCTTGTGATTTTTATCCACCTTTCCTTAACTGTTCTTTCTTCTTCTTTTGTGTTCAAAATGAAAAACTTTAAATTTACATATTCGCTACTTTTTCACAAGACTCCTCCAAGATTCAAGTATTTTGATCAAGATAATGATCGGAATCCTGCTCTACAATCTCTCTAGAATCCAATCTCTAGTAACTCTATACCATAGAAAATTCTTTGGTTCAAATTCCTTTGAGTGGAATTCTCTGGTTAAAATTGTGAACCTTATATGATTATAAGATATGTTAATTAAAATAGATTAACAATAAGGGTCAAACTCATTACCGAAAATCGCACATAGAATTTAGCTTAAACACATTAGTAAGCATAAGAGAACAAATGAAAGTTTTTTAAAGCAAACAGAAAATCCCAGAAGAGTAGGACTAAAACAACGCTGTTTTGACTAATACAGACAGTCTTATTTTTTCATGACAATGCGCAGCTTTTGCATGTTTAATAATAACAATTTTCACCCTTTCCACATTGTGATTAATCAATTAATTCTCTTGAGATTATTTACGTCAATTCGATAGGTTAGGGTTTGCTATAGCCATTTAGATATTGGAAATAGAGTAAGCCTAATTTCAAAAGCTAATAAACTTACTATGTTGTCCAATAAATCTCTCTTATGTAGATTCTAAATTTGGCTAAACTTCTTTATCATCCTACAATAACTTAAAACTTTATTTCCTGAATAAAGTCAAATCACTAATATTCTTTTCTCTACTAAATTTTTTTTCCATATTTAGTACATACCGAAACATTTTTGCTTGCTCACAAACTAGGTTGAGTTAGGGAAACGTTGGATGGGCCATGTGACAGAGATAAATTGGTTTTGGTTAAAATTATTTTCAGAAAATCTTGTGTCAATTTGATTTCTATGATCAGATCTTTAAGATCCTAATAAATCATGTTCTGTCTTAATTTTCGCCTTTTTTAACTTTATTTTTTACTAAGCTTTCTTTAGAAGAAAGATGTGATTCTTTCAAATTTCGACAGAGGATAGCTATATATATGTCCAACCAAAATTAACATATTAAATAAAAATTTTGGAAGCCAAGCTTGAGTCCGGACGAAAACCATGGCAAATCATACGAATTATGCTATTCTTAATATAGAAAGAAAATCCAACGATTATCTGAACCTTTCTGTCGAGAAATTCCATGAAATGTCCATATTTTCTATTTAGATGTAATTTGGGAATATATTGCTATAGGATGCTTTGTGGGGGAGTTCACTAAAAAAAATCTCATAAATATCATATATTTTTAAAATGAATTTAAGGTTTTTTTTAAAGATTTAAGATTTAACCTATGAATGATTGTAAATGGATGGTCTCATTGAGAATTCCATGGTTTTTATTTGAGAAGATTGAATTTTTTTTTTTTTTTTAGGAATAAGAGCACCAAAAGTCCTAAAACTTATCATTAATACGTGATTGAATACTATAACTTTTAAAAAGTGCAATCAAGTCGTAAACTTACTAAGTTGGTGCAATTTAATCGTTTCATGAACTCCGTCCAATTTGATTAACAAAAAATGCTAACATGACTTTTTCTCTCTCTTGCGTGGCATTAACGTTAACCAAAGCATGAAGCATAATACTAAAATCACGTCGTTTTGGTTCAAATCCTAATTGTTGAATTAATTTTGAAAAGAAGAACACAAGCTAAAAAAAGAAAAGAAGAAAACAAAGCCTACATGCCCTTACCTGGTGGGACGGCGCCATCGATGGCTGTAGCCCAAATCTTGGCAATGGTTACCAGCCCTTTTCGACTATGGTGGGGCAGCGCCCCTCTAGGCTTGATCGCTGAACCTCGGCCTGGTTTTTTGTATTAGCTTTTTTTTTTGAAAAAAAGGCTTTTAGTTTTTTCCTCTAATTTCATTAAGATTTAGGGGTAAAAATGAGGGTCTGGACTAAAAAGACAATGTTCTAGTGTTTTAGTTAACGTTAGCACAGGAGAGAGAAAATAATAATAAAAATGTCACATCAACATTTCCCACTAAGTGGAATTGGACATAGTCCGGCCAAAAAAAAAGGACATTGTTAAAGAAAGGATTTAATTGAGCCAATTTATCAAATTTTAGGATTTAATTGTATTTAATAAAAAAAATTTAAGACTCGATTGTAATTTCATGATAAGTTTTAGGACTTTCGATGTACTTATTTTTCATCATCATCATTATTATTTGATGGGGTGGGAGATTGAATATTAATGCGTCAAATATTATTTACAATACAAAAGCGCATATATTTTTATTCTGAAGACACTTTATTATTATAGCCAAACCTCGAAACATTAGAAATTAATATTAAACCCTGGACTTATTAGACTGCTCTATTCATCTTGCAGCATGCTTCAAACCGAACGGTGTCGATCGTCCCTGAGGTCTCCCTATATCCTTCTACAAACTAAACAGGGAAATTCAATTTTTCTTAATGTTGGGATTTGGGATTCCCCCCTTCGCCAATAGCAATTTTAATGACTATATAATGAGGACTATTATGGTTGGTGTCCATTTTTACCATGTGCTTAATTTGTATGCTATTGATGGTTCTCGCTGGAGAGACACTAGAAATACATAAAGCGCCTCATTGCCACTTCATTTAATCAAGTAAACATGAAATTCCACTGTTAATAAAACTATATTTGGAAAATTGAACTGTGCCCCTCAAGGTTAAAACGATTGATTGAGAATTTGGAGATTTCCGGCTCAAGAGTTGGATGTCACATATTCTTATCCCATCACTACATATAAATTACTTTGGGTTAGGGCCACATTTACAGACAAAAAATCTTGACTTAATTGGTTCATGGAATTTGCAGGGTGCCTATGGGCATCTAGATAGCTGTATCTCCAGGCTCGTGGTCCTAGATTATAAAAGAAAAATAAATTTAATAAGATGAAATAAAATGCCAAGAAAATGTCATAAATTGATATAAGAGTTGATAAATTTAAGACATAATAAAAGATATATGAAAGGTGGTAAAAAATAACAAAATTTGGTAAAGTAAAACACAAATAAAAGTTGGTCATTAACTTCAACAAGAATTGATAACCTGCAACTTTCTGATAGTTTAATTGGGAAAAGTTGATAAATAATTCAAATAAAGATTAGTAAATTCACGTAATAGTTCATAAATTTGAAGCACCCATTAGAAAAATAATTTAAAGTTGCTAAAAGATGCCAATGATTTGCAAACTGTCAAAAACATTGGAAACTTCTTAAAAGTGCTGTTGGTAATTACCAACTAGGAAATCACGTGTTCAGAAATTCTTGTTACCCAGAGTCTTTTGAGACTTACCAACTTTTTAGAAATCTACTAGCACGAAAAAATAAAGGGAAAATATCACAAAAAATCTTAAATTATGCCACTTGTGATAAATTTACCCTTAACTTTTTTTTGTGACACGAAAAACCCAAACTACGCCACTTGTGACAAATTTATCCTGAACTTTGTTTTGTGATACGAAAAACTCTAAATTATGCCACTTGTGACACATTTACCCCACAATACTTTGGCATATGGGCATTTTCGGCTTTTCCTTTTTCTGTTTTTTTCCTTTTTTGTCGGTTTAAAGCATCTTGATTATGATTTTAATTTTCGAATATTTGAATTACGACGGAAACATTTTAGTTCGTATCAATCTATTAAAATTAAGCGTGTTGTGTCATAAAATATTGAGATTTTCTCTCTGTAATTTATGGTTTATCTGGTGTTGTATAAACAGATCGGGTCCAGAACTATTTTCTTTTTCAGAGAACGGCATGGATATTTATGCGATTCATGAAATTTGGTTTTTTTTTTGGTCGAATGAAATTTGGTTGGTTGAATACACATAAATTAAGTCTAGGCGGAGTATCTCCTTTACGTACAAAACGATTCTCTCGAGCGCTCTTGCCCCGTCAATAAAGTTTGGTCTCATGAAGTTGATCGCTATGCTTTTAATGTTAAAGGGGGTAATTTGACTCGACCCTTCTCCTTAGTTTCCAAGACATCATCGTCTAACAAATACATTTCCACCATGCACGTAGTTTTTTTTTTGGCAGAACCATGTACATAGTTTTGGACGGGTGATTTTGTGTCGAT